TTGCTGGCTTTCTAGATGATGGAAATATATAAAGGCTCATTTTGCCATTTTTTGCACTTTTCTTTATGTTTGGAAAAATAAAACTTACAAAAGTAGTTTTTCCATCCCTTGGAATTGCTTCATTTAAAACATGTATTTATTTATTATAGAGTTGTGGGGTACAAATGAGGATTAACTAGGCTGCATGCAGGTGAAATTTGGGCTTCTAACTTGTCCTCACTTCCCCTGGTAGTGGACCCTTTATGTTGTCACATGTCCCCCACCCTCCTCTCTTCCTCCCTCCCCTAGCGATGTCCAGAGACTGACAATTCCTCTCTTGTGCTTATGTGACTAGTGTTCAGGGCCTACTTATGAGTGAGAACATGTGGTATTCAGTTTTTTGTATTTTTGTGTGTAATGTCAGGGTAGGTTTCTGTTATATTTTGTTTTCTACATGGATATGTACTTGTTTTACTGTCATTTACAGAAAAATAAAACCTTTATTATTGCCCTATTCCACCTGCTCTGCAGTAGCACTTTTTCTCCTAAATCAGGGATCCATGTATTGAGTGGATATGTTTCAGGATTCTGTATTCAATTTTATTGGTCTATTTTTTACACCCTGTGCCCATATTACAAATTCTTCATTAGTATAACTTTTTAGTAATTCTTACTGTCTGATAGAATAACTCTTCTTATCTTCTCCTATTGTCACAAGAGTACCTTGACTATGCTTAGCATATTGCATTTAAATTTAAATTCGAAAAGCATCTTGCAATATTTTACATATACATGTACGTAAGCATACATTTTCACACATGAGTTCTTTTGAATTGTTTTTATTGAGATTGCAATTATCTATAGATTACTTTTGAAAAGAATTAATATGTCTTCAATATGGAATACTCACAGCTCATGAAAAATTATATTTTAGATTTTTGTAAGTCTTAATGTATTAATTTAATTTGCATAAAGATGTTAAGCTTTCTTTGGTTAAATTTATTTTTAGGTTTCAGTATTTTGCTATGACACATTACAAGCTATATTTTGTTTATTCTCACTTTCATACTGTTTTTGCTGCAGAAAGTTTCTTTAAAATTTTTATTTTAAAGATGTGGGATACATTTCAGGGTTAGATATATAAACATTTATCCTGCAGATACCCTTGTTGATGAGGTATGCCCCTCCCTCTACTAGCAGTTTACCTCAACTGCCAATCCCACCCCCCCTCCCCTAACAGTTTCCCACTACTGCCAATTGCTTTCTTCTAGCATTATAGTTGTTCAAGGTCGGTTTATGAGTGACAACATATGGAACTCAGTTCTTTGTTTCTGTGATAGATCACTGTGTATGATAGACTCCAAATCCATCCAAGTTGCTGCAAAATTCGTATATTTGTCCTTCATGAGGGCTGCATAATATTCCATTGTGTATATGTACCACATTTTTTTTTATCCAGTCCAGCTTCGGCAACACGGTTGGTTCCAAGTTTTTGCTATTGTGAATAGAGCTGCAACAAACCTACATATGCAGGTATCTTTTTCGTAGAATGATTTGAGTTCCTCCAGGTATATTCCCACGCTGTCTTTCAAAGAGGTTGTACTAGTATGCATTCCCACCAGCACTGTAGAAACGTTCTTTTTTCTCCACATCCTCACCAGCATCTGTTGTTGTTTGTTTAATTAATGATGGCCATTCTTACAAGGGTTAGGTGGTATCTCAATGTGGTTTTGATTTGCATGTCTCTGATGATGAGTGAGGCTGAGCACTTTTTCATGTGTCTGTTGGCTGCCCGTATATCTTCTTTTGAGAAGTGTCTATTCATGTCTTTTGCCCACTTTTTAAAGGGGCTGTTTGTTTTTTTCCTTTCGGCGCATTTGAGTTCCTTGTAGATCCTAGATGTTTGGCCTTTGTCAGATATACAGTTGGCAAATATTTTTTTCCCATTCTGTGGGCTGTCTCCCTGCTCTCTTGATGGTTTCTTTTGCTTTGCAGAAGCTCGTTAATTTGATGAGGTCCCACTTGTCTATCTTATTTCTTAATGTATTGGCCTTTAGGGTTCTGAATAGGAATTGGTTCTCAGTTTCAATTTCCATAAGGGTATCTCCTGCGCTTTCTAAGATTCTTATAGTTTGAGATTTTACGTTTAGGTCTTTGATCCATTTAGAGTTAATTTTTGTGTATGGGGATAGGTAGGGGTCCTGTTTCAATCTTCTGCATGTGGCCAGCCAGTTTTCCCAGCACCATTTACTGAATAGGTTCTCCTCTCCCCAGTGGTTGTCGTTGGAGGCTTTGTCAGAGATGAGTTGGTTGAGGAATTGAGGCTTTGCTTCCGGAATCTCTATCCTGTTCCATTGGTCTGTATGCCTGTTCTTGTACCAATACCAGGCGGTTTTGATTACTGTAGCCTCATAGTAAAGTTTGAAGTCTGGAAGTGTGATACCTCCTGCTTTGTTTCTTTTGCTAAGGATTGTTTTGGCTATTCGTGGTCGTTTGTTTCCACATAAATTTCTGCTCATATTTACTGTCACTTTCATACTGTTTTTGCTGCAGAAAGTTTTTTTAAAAATATTGATCCTATATCCTACTACTTTTATATGCATTTTATTGAATGAATATTTTACCTTTGTTCTGTTGTATTTTCTTTACACATGGTCTAATCATATGTTAATTAGGAAAGTTTATTTTCTTATCTTTCTAACTCCAGACCTTTTGTTCCATCTGCTTAGTATTACTGCACTGACTGGTACCTCTATTATAGTGAATAAAAATGGTGATAGCAGGAATCATTGTCTATTTCCTAATTTTAAAGTGAAAGTAGCATTCAACTTTTAATGTTTACTGTAGTTTTTTTGGTAAATATTATTTATCTAGTTTGCTAACATTTTCCATTGTTAATAAACATTTAGAATAGTTTTAGACTTACAGTAAAATAGAAAACCTAGTATAAAGTAACCTATAATCCACATCCAGTTTCCCTTATTATTAACATTGTCCATTAGTACAGTACATTTGTTACAACTATTGAATCTATATTGACACCTTGTTATTAACAAAAGCACATGATTTATTTAGATTTCCTTTGTTTTTAGCTAATGCATTGTTTTTTTCAGAATCCCATCTAGGACCATCATATTATATTTACTCCTCATGTCTCAATAGGTTCCTCTTGTCATTGGCAGCTCTTAGAAATTTTCTGTATTTGATGACTTTGATTTCAACAGTTTTGAGGAATATTGATCAGGTATTTTGCATAATTCCCCTCTACTGGGATTTGTCTTACCTTTCTGTCATGATTAGAATTCTTATTTTCAGAGGAAGATCTCAGAGGTAAAATGTCATTTTCGTCACATGATAGTAAAGGAATCGGCTAGAAATATTTATCATGGGTGATGTCAGCTTTGAAATACTACTTATTCTGTAAAGTCAGTATAATCAAGAAAGTAAGGTATTGGTACAAGAAGACACACACACATCAATGGAACAAACTAAAGCCTGGAAACAGCCCCACATAAATATGGTCTACTGATTTTTGACAAAAGTGCAAAGGCAATTTTATGGAGAAACAATAGTCTTTTCATCACATGGCACTTGAACAAATAGATGTCACTATGCAAATAAAGTAACCCAGACAAAACCTTACACCTTCCATAAAAAATTAACTCAAAATAGATCATAGGCTCAAATTTAAAATGCAGAATTATAAAACTTCTGAAAGAAAACATAGGGGAAGTTCTACATGACCTTCGAAGCATGGCCCATGAAAGAAAAAATATAAGTTGGACTTTCTAGAAATAAAAAAAAGCTAATGCTCTATAAAATGCACTGTTAAGAAAAAGATGCAAACTTTGAGAAAGTATTTGTGAAACTTATATTTGAAAAAAGATCTGTATCCAAAACCAACAAAGAATGTTTAAGACTAAACAATGAGAAAACAAACTTATTAAAACTCCATAAATGGGCATAAGTGTTGAACAAACGCATCAAGGAAGAAACATAGATGGGAAACAAGCATAAGAAAAGATTGTCAGCATCATTATTGATTAGGGAAATATGAATTAAATAACAAGGAGATATACACCTAGTAGAATATCTAAAATCCAGCAACCAACAATGTGACTAGCAACAGGTACTCTCATTAATTGCTGCTTGGAATGTAAAATAATACAACCACTTTAAGGGTGGTTTATCAGTTTTGTTTGTTTGTTTTTACAAAGCTACACACAGTCTTGACACTCCGAGGTATATATCCAACTAACTTAAAAACTTATGTCCACAGGAAAATCTTGTATGTGAATGTGTATGGCAGCTTATTTCACAATTGCCAAAAACTGGAAGCAACCAAGATGTTACTCAACAGATGAATGTGTAAACAAATTGTGGTCTGCCACACAAAAACTTGAATAAATCTTAAAAGCTTAGCGTCAAGTGAAAGAAGTCATTCTGAAAAGGCTAGATAGTATCTGATCCAATTTATGTAACATTTTAGAAAATGCAAAACTATGGAGACAGGAAAAATATCTGTTGATGCTAGGGCTGTGGGGTAGGGAGAAGGTTTGACTAGAATAAGCCCAGGGAAGTTTTTAGGCTTGTGAAACAGCACTGTGAGATACTGTAATGGTGGATTACCTTATGTCATGGTGGTTTTCATGTTGTCAAAATGGTGGATTCCATTACGTATTTGTCAAAAAAAGATCGAACCTTAAAGTACAAAGAGTTAACTTTAATGTATGCATTTTAAAAGAAAATAGGAGGTTGGGGAATGCCAGGGTAGAATATAGAATATGACCAAATGATTTAACTGTGTTATGTATTCTCAACTCAGGCCTGCTCCCTCCCGACCACCCAAAAAGCGATGACATCACCAAATGTGCATGTCCCCAGCCCACTACCTGACCAATAAGGGACTAGTCCGTGGTCACTGAAATACGGATTCCTAGTCCAGTGCCGGTGTCTTGAGAGACAAGCATCACATCCAACTAGGCCAAGTCAGCAAGCAGAGATCGTACCCGGCACCCATCATGCCGCGAACCAGGAGCCAACAGAGGTCATCATCGAGGTCATCATCGAGAAGTCGGCGGCGGGCCCGCTCCCGCACTGCCCGAGCCCAGTTGAATTTCTCCGTCAGCTACGTGGAGCGCCGTCTGCGGGAGGGCTACTATGCCCGGCGCCTGAGTTGGTCTGCGCCCGTGTACCTGGCCGCTGTCATCGAGTTCCTGACGGCGAGGGTCCTGCAGCTGGCGGGCAACGAGGCCCAGAACAACGGCAGGAATCGCATCACCCCGGATCTCGTGGATATGGCCGTCTACAACGACCCGCTGCTCAGCAGGCTCTTTGGGACCACGACCATCTCCCAGGTTGCCCCAGATTGGGACTAGCTGCTGATGCCTGGCTCCTGAGGTCTGGCTCCCTGGAGGAGCCCCACCAGGCTAGCTGGGCCTCTCACAGGAGCTGGTGGACTGCCTTGGTCTGCCTTGGGCCTACTGCCTTTTCCATCTTTCCCTGCCCATCCTGGTTGCCTTGACATATGCCACCCATTTCAGCCTTTGTCCTGAGCTCCACCCACCCATCACTCCTCCATCTCCCCTGCCCATCCCTTACCACCTCCCTCCAATGTGGAGTGATGAAGCTGGCCCCTAGGTTTCTTTGAATACTTTAGTGGCAAAACTCAGTGAAGGTGGTCCCTAGAATACCGATTACTAATCCAGTGCCGGAATCTTGAGAGGCAAGCATCACGTGCAACTAGGCCAAGCCAGCAAGCAGAGATATCACACCTGCGTGATGCTAAGTTTATTGTCTGGCCAGCCAATGCTGAGACTCTCAATTTGCATACGCCATTCTCAGCCTGGCTAAGCCCGGCCTCTGATTCCTCTTTTGCATATCACCAGGCAATGGACAGGCTCAGCCTCCAGAGCTGGTGTGGTTCCACTGGCCAGCCCCAGGATAACACAGGGCACTTCAAAGTCCACCTGCAGCAGTAACAACACTTCCTGCATCAGCTTATTGGTAAGTGCTTGGGGCAGCAAACTTGGCAGTGGCCAAAGCCACCCCTGTATCTACACGAGTGCCCAGCCCAACACCGAGGACTTCCTGGTCCAGTACCAGCTGGTGCAGAAAAAGCTGAAGAACGGGTTCCCCCAGAAGTCCAACGTGGTGGGGACCAGCAAACAATTCAGGCAGCTGAGACGTGAGCTGCACGCCAGGGAGTGCCTGCCATGGAGACCTGGTGCCAGCTGACGGTCGTGCGCTGCCAGCAGGTGCTCTTCCACTAACCTGGGAAGGCACTGGCCCTCACCAAGACCGCCTGCCTCTTCCTGAAGCAGGAGTGCAACACGCGCCAGCGCCTAGTCTGCCCTGCGGCCAACGAGGGGCTGCCGCCAGCGCCCTGGGTGACGCTGTGCACCTGCACCTCGAGTTGGGCCAGCCAACCACAGCCGCCACTGCCCTCTGCCTCAAGCTGGCCGACGCCATGCGCAATCTGGACCACCTGATCGCTGCAGCCTGCCACTTTCAGGGCGGCATCCAGCTCCAGCTGCCCCAGCTGCGCCTGGCCTTGCAGACGCCCTGCAAGGCCACCTTCTACCAGCTGCTGGCACGAGACCACACTGACGCCTTGGCAGTCTTCAAGCGCATGCAGCGCCTGTCATGGCAGCCACCCCATGTAGCTGTTGACGACGCCGCCTGGGTCCCAGCCGGGGCCTGGTGCAATTTCCACCTTAGCAGCCACCCTGCCATGCCCTTTCCCACTGCCCTGGGAGCTTTCTTTGATATACTGCTCCACGGTGAGGGGTCCTGCATGCTGCTGCTGCTTCTTCTGCAACTGCTGCCCACCAAAGCTGCGATTGGAGCATGCCCAGACCCTGGAGAAGTACTCCTGGGAAACTTTTGACACCCACGGGCAGGATAGCAGTCTCCAGCATCTGGAAGAGCTCCATCTGCTGCTCCAGTTCTTCGTCATGGTCACCCATGAAAAGAACCTGGAAGCCATGACACCGCTTCAGGTGGAGATGTAACTGTTGCATGCTGAGCAGAACCATCTCCTTCACTTCATTCTGCAAGAAACCGCCTCCCCCTCATGACAGCACATCTGGTAAATCACATGAACTAAATGAATTTTTGTCTGTTCTTAAATCTCACGCATCCACCTTTGTATATAGGCAGAAATAAGAAACATTGTTCCTGGTTCTACGTTTTATCCTATTCCTGTTGCCACCGTGGGAGTTGAGTTGACAGAAAGTTACCTGCATTTTCAAATGTGTATTTCTATCATAGAGGGAGAAAAACACATTTTGATAGAATCCGATTATAGGACTTCCAACTCCTTCTTCTTTCATTTAACACCACCACCTCTTACCCCCACCTTTGTTTCATAGTGAGGGTTTTATTTTGCACTTCTCTGTCTAAACACATAAGCTATATGACTTTATGCTGACTCTCATTTCTTGGGCTTTGTCTATGTCTCTGTGATAAACAAATTTCCTGTGAGGAATGTGGTCCTTATTCTGATTACTGCAAGGAAATATGTCTAACGCACCAGTTCCACTGCCAAATGTATCTATTTGCATTGAAATTCACAGTTCCTGTTCTGTTCTGAGAGGTAGATGCAATCTACATTACAACTTTTATATGTAATAGGGGTCCAGCTGCCACTTTTATTTCATTCAAAATATGTAAACTCAGAGCATGGCTCTTTGGTACTGTATGATCATGTGAGTGCAAGACTGTATCTTTCTTCCTCAAAAAGCAGGATTGCGTTCCATTGTAAAACATTAAGTTTGTAAGGCTTTTTGGTCCTAATTATGCATGCAAACTAACTTTTCAGTTTTGTTATTTAATTATTTTTACATTTGAGAGTGATCATGGAAAATATTCAGAATATAACTTCTTTCTCAAACATTTGACTTTGGAAAAATGTCTCCAATAGGCTGAAGTTGAACAGAGTATTCATCTTTGGGTTCAGGATTTAAGGACACAATTTAGGGGTAGATTTTTGTTTTTAGTTTTTCTGGGAAGAGGGAGAGAGGTGGAATAGGTTATCTCTGTAAATTAAGTGGCCTCAAAATGGGTGGAATTTTTAGAGTGTTATTTTCTGCTTCTAATTCTATTTCAACAATGTGGAAATAATGGAAAATACCGAAGAAGCCCATTTAAGACAGATCCAACCACCATTCTTCCAACCACCACATTTGGCTGCCAGGAAGGTTCCAAAGTGCCCTAACATCTCAAAAGTGGTAAGAATGCATGTTCTTTTGCTTTTGGCCTTTTTATTTTCTGGTACACTCCTCGCAACCCAGGCTGCAGGCCCGGACAGCTGGCATTTCCATATGTTTAGGAGTTGTGGAGCATGATTGGTGATAATTTTTTTTTAATTTGGTCTTAAGGAGAAGCCTCATTAGACCTTTGTTCTTAACTCCTTGCATTGGGTAAGTGAGGGGAAACATAACCAGAGAGTCAGATATTGGATATATATTATTCTAGGAGATCCTACAACTTCATATTTTCCACTTCTCATCAGCTCATTGATGTATCTCCCTCAGAAACTTAATAGCAGGAATACCTGGGCAAAGGTCAGATTTCAGCATGTTTGATGGAGTTCTCTTGTGATACATAACTTTAATGAAAGCCATACATACTCAAATCCCACAGATTGCCCTCCAGAAAACATGTATATGAAAAGTTGGCCCTCCATATATATGTATGGGCTTTGTGTCCCCTGAATATTTTCAATCCGTATTTGAACAGAAAGCATCTGCATATAAGAGGACCAGTGCAGTTTAAACTTGTGTTGTTCAAGAGCCAGATGTCTTCTTAACTTATCTCCCTACATGATACATATTACTTACAAGAGAAATTTTTTTTTACTTTGCAGTGAAAAACCCTGGAACACACCACCTTAACCAAATTATCAAAGGTAATGGGACCAATAAATATTACGCTTCCTTAATACAATACACTGAGAACATAATGTCGCTTCTGTGGTACTTCTGCCAGAAGTGTATAACATGAATCTAATCAGACAAACCTGAATAGAGAGACATGCTACAAAATTACTTATGTGCTTCTTCAAATTGTCAGTGTCATGAAAGACAAGGGAAATACTTACAAACTGTTCAAAATTAAAAGAAACTTAAAAAATGAAAACTAAATGTAATATATGATAGTGTATTAAATCCTGGATCAAAAAATAGTTGCAAAGAACAATATTGAAACAACTGGAAAAAAAGAAAGATCTATAGATTAAGTGGTAGTACTGTATGAGCATTAATTCCCAAATTTCAAGTGTTGCACTGTAGTAATAAATGAGAGATTGCTTGTATGTTTAGACACACTGAACTGCTTAAAGGTATTGAGATATATCTATAACATTCTGAATGTATTCAGCAAAATGCTGTGTATATATAAAGAGATATAGATGGTTAAAGAATATGTTTTAAAATGGGAAGCCTGGATGAAATATTTGTACTGTTTTTGAGAGCTTTCTGCATGTTTAAAATTATTTCAAAATAAAAAAGTTTAAAAACATTATGGAAACCGAGTTTTCTCAACTTTGTAAAAGTATATGGGAAAATAAGAATAAGATGAGAAGATGCAAATTGTGAAATATGGACAGTGGTAGAATACGTAAAGCTATTTATCTAGCAGTTTATGTATCAATGTATGTAGAAGTTTATGTATCAACATCAACATCAAACACAATAGACATTAGTGTAAGAAAACATACTGAAGTTTGCAATGGTCATTGCATAAGAATAAAAGGATCAACACATAAGGGTGATCTAACATTTCTAAGTCTTAGTCAAGTGACAACATAGTTTCAACATTCGTGAATCAAAAATGCACAGGCATAAAGGAAAATATGAAAAATGAACATTATAATACTCCTTCAGTAACTGATGGAAAAAGCAATCATAAATTCAATAAACTTATGGAATGTTGGTTTAACACAACTTATACTTTTAATCTAATGGTCACAAACAGAATACTACACCAACTACTACAGAAAAAATAATTGTCACCATGTGCTAGACCAATACTTAAAAGTATCTCTTACAGAAGAGGAACTGGAACAACATGGCCAAATAGAATCCTCCAGTGGTTTTTCCCATGCAGGAACACCAAATTGAACAACTATCCATGCAATAAAGAATTATCATAAGAACCAAAAAATCAGGTGAGTGACCACAGTTCCTTATTTTAACACAATAACAAGGAGAGATGCAGAGAAAAGGCAGGAAGGACAGTCCTGCACTGTCTGCACACTACCCCCTCAATTCCAGGCAGCACAGCAAGGAGAGCTACAGCGTGCTTGAGGGAGAGAAAGCAAAATGAGTATGGGACTTTGCAATGAAACTCGGTGCCCGGGTGTGGTAGCTCGCGC